AAAAAAAAAAAAATCTGTCAGAGCGCACTTATCCAAGTGAATCATAAACATCAACAGCAGTACGACAAATTTTTATGATGTGCTGATACACACAGAAGAACACAGCATCACTGCTGAAATACTGTTCCCAAAAAGTAAATTATAGGCTGGTCGGCAGTGGTGGCTCCCAGCATGCCAACAAGAGTGAAAATCCATCTCAAAAAAAAAAAGTAAATTACAGGCTGAATGTAACCAAACAGAAACATCAGTTTTATGCAAACTTCAAGATACAGATATTTCCCATTTTCTGTAATTTTTAGTAGTGATTTTAAGGAGTCTTTTTTGAGCACCCTAGAGAGTAGTTATCTCCTGATAATTATCTTCTGAACTTTCTGGGTAATAAATCTCATCTTTTTTTCTTGAGATAGAGTCTCACTGTGTCACCCAGTGCAGTGGCATAATCGCGCCTCAGTGCAACCTCCACCTCCTGGGTTCAAGAGATTCTCCTGCCTCAGCCTATCGAGTAGCTGGGATTACAGGCGTGCACCACCATGCCTGGCTGATTTTTGTATTCTTAGGAGAGACAGGGTTTCGCCATGTTGGCCAGGCTGGTTTTGAACTTCTAACCTCAGGTGATCCACCCTGCTCGGCCTCCCAAACTGCTGGGATTACAGGCATATGCCACTGCGCCCAGCCCTCATCTTGTTTAAATAAGCATGTCCTTAATCCCATTCTGCTTAGTGCTAATGGTGAACACAAATGGAGCCTCAACATTACCTGCTCTCCATCTTTACTAAGGATTCCAGCTTTTCCCCAACAGAAATCTTCAGTATCCCCACCACCTCATGTTCAACAGCCACAAAGGATACATTTTTAATACTGCAGATCATAAATTATGATTAGAATCCTGCATGGCATATAAAAAGCCATGATGTTGAGAATTTAGAGAAGGTTCTAAAAAGAAATATTTTTCAGAGACGCTTGACTATCAATGAAGTTTTTAAAAGTAGTTAAAACAAACTCATTAGGGAGGAAAAACACAAGTAACGGTTTGCAAGTACTAAATGGATGGAATTCCAGAAGGCAGAGTAGAGACAGTTCTTGATCTGAGACATGTTTAGCTTTTAAAAAAAAAAAAAAAAAAAAAAGGCATTTTTTTTCCCTATCTCCTCCTTCTCTGGGACACCTTTTCAGTTGAGATTCTCTGGACAAATTACACCTGTATCTTGAGAATATGCCTTAAAAAGTGTCAGCACCACCTGTTTACCTGCTACCTCCACACCCACGGGCAGAAGTACCAAGACCCACTGAAAAAGTCCACCCACTTTTGTCCTTTATAACATGAAAAACTCATTAGTTGCTCCATGATGATAGAAACATATATTTCTCCTTTCCTGTTTTTGGTGCCCTTCCCTGCCACAGATACCAACAATCTCTGCTACAGTAATAAAAATATGGGCCACACTGCCGTCTACACCAAACCCAAACAGAACAGGACCTATGATCACCCTGTAGAAAACAGCTGAAACTGAACTCTCATGAGTGTATCTTCAACCCCTCATACTTGATTCTGGCCACACCTTAGAGTCACATGAGGCACTTAATTAAAACAACATAGATGTGTCCAACAATAAAAAGAACCCGTGGAAAGGGCACGAGCAAAGATATTTCTGTGAACTGGCAATGTAATTTGAGTATCCACATCTAAGTAATCCACATTACTTACAATGGCAGAAACTGTAATAACTTTTGCACCAAACTAATAGAACCCTGGGTTTTTAACCACTTAGCTAAGCATTGCCTCTCAAGCTTTAATGAGCTTATAAACCACTCGGTAATTTTAGTCCCTCTCTATGTAATGTGATTCTGCAGGTTTTCAAAGGGTACATGAATGTGTGTTTTAAATAAGTCCCCTGTCAATGCTGATGATGCTCCCCATAGGCTCATCATTAGCATTTGTTAGAGAAGCAGGAACAGTACAGAGTCCCTTACACTTGGCACTCTTGTCACAACACAAATACTTCTGGCACAAATGAAGACAACCAATCTCCATCCTAAAGTATCAAATTCTTTGCTGGTTCTTTAAAGTTTACAGAGGCAACAAAAGGTAGCAGTGCCTGAATAAGCCTGCATTTGGAAAACATATACACATGTACTAATGCAATGTTTACTAAGCAGGTACTATGTGCTCAAGAGTATGTTGCAGAGCACTGCGCTAGAAATAACACATTATGTGATTTAATCCTCATAACACACTGGGAGTTGGTACTAAGTGTTTAATAATTCCCAGCATTGCCGGGCGCGGTGGCTCAAGCCTGTAATCCCAGCACTTTGGGAGGCCGAGACGGGTGGATCATGAGGTCAGGAGATCGAGACCATCCTGGCTAACACGGTGAAACCCCATCTCTACTAAAAAATACAAAAAACTAGCCGGGCGAGGTGGCGGGCGCCTGTAGTCCCAGCTACTCAGGAGGCTGAGGCAGGAGAATGGCGTAAACCCGGGAGGTGGAGCTTGCAGTGAGCTGAGATCCAGCCACTGCACCCCAGCCTGGGTGACAGAGCAAGACTCCATCTCAAAAAACAAACAAACAAAAATTCCCAGCATTAGGCGAAGGGCCCAGTGTATGTATTTCACCTTCTGTTTCTGTTCTTGGTTTTTTAAAGAAAATGTATAGAATAAAAGCTAAATGTACACAAATTACCTGAAAAGAGAAAAGTTTAATGCAGTTTACAGAAACTTTTACTATATATATATATATATTTGTGTGTGTGACTAGTGGAGCAACTACTGAATCTGCAGGAATAGAAAACAAGATGCCAAATGGAATCTGCAAGCACTGATTTAATAGAAAATTTAAAAATTAAGACCTTAAAATATATACTTTACTTTTCCCATTTATCTCCTTTGGGGTGCAGAAAATTGTGAGCACCAGCCTTAGAAAGGCAGCAGGATTCACCAGCCAAAACTCTCATCTCTTCCAATCAGTTCTGTAAGGCAAGACTCCAGAGTGGGGCCAGATCTAAATAAGACCCCCAAATAGAATGAATCTGAACAGAACTGGGGTAGGGAGTGGACCTTACGTAGAATTCTGTTCTCTGTGCCACTGGGGTATTTCCAGTTCTGTTTTCCTAAGTTTGCCTAAGAGAAACTTAAATCTCTGAGTCTGTATAATTTTTTTTTAGCCACTGCCCTGTCAATTACATAATGCATATTAATAAGCAATTTAAATAATTAAAGTTCTCTAGGTTAATTATTATAAGATAAATATGTATTCTTAGCAGGTAATAGAAACGCATATAATAATAATCCTTCTATTCATAAATATCCCTCCAGGTGATGACATAAGTTACTACAATATAAAGAAAGTGGCCCAAATAAAACACAAGGTTTTTTGCACACATCTGTTCAGTGAATCAACCATATGATGCTTAATTCAACCCTTTATTCAGTTGCTAGTTTAGACTAAAAGTTTCTGGATGGTTCCTGGATGACTGCTTCATCTATTTTTCTAATGGCCATGGAAAATAAAAGCAATTAGTTGATTTGTTTGAGTCTCCAGACATCCTGGTTGTTTTTCACCCAAGCACCAGAAAACTAGAGAAACATTCATCTGGGTACCCACCAAAGTCATCTCTTGTGTGAGGCGAGGAGAAGACACAGGATAACTCAATTTTTTACTCTGAGACAGAAGCAGAATTAGCCACTTTTGTTACCCTGGCACAATTCTGCTCTGGGCATCCTCAAATGTCTCAAAGATGCCCAGCTGATTGTGAGAGTTCCCAGTGACCCTGGGCTGATGGCCCAGTGATAAGCCAGGCAGGAGAGACTCAGGCTACTTCTAAATAAAAAATTAAACTGCCCTGGAGAAGCTCCAGAACCTGGATCACCTGTCCTGATTTATCTAGCTCTTAGGTAAGAGGAAGAACAGGAATAGTCTCCTCCAGTCCCACATTTTACAGGTAGGTATAGTTGTGGTTATGGCTCTGGATACATTATCACCTTGATCTCTCACTCTGAAGATGCTTGTTCACACTCACATATTCTACCATCAGATTCTATTTACACCTGGTGCCCCTCACATAACTGTAGCAGGTAGCACTGGACAAGATCTGAGAAGCTGAAAAAGTCACATTCTCAGAGGGGAACTTTAAGATGTCTATGTTGACATCTCACAATGCAGAAAATGTCTCTTGTTGGTTTTCTCTACATTCTCAATTCAAAGTCTGGCCTTATCTTGTAAATTCCAGGAAGAGGCCAGACCTTATTTGCAGATTCTAGGTGGGATCAACCTGGCTCTTCATTCTTGGGTGTTACAGCACGCAGAGTACAATCAAAGGAACGATCCCCTTATAGAGGCTGCTTTAACACACTGAAAGATATGTCTACCTAAAAGAAAAAAAAGCTAAGGCAACATGAATGTAAGTAGACAGTTTATTTGGGCAAAGCTTGAGGATTGTAATTTGGGAGCAAACCTTCAGGTTGCCTGTCATCTACACTTTGATTAGGAACAGTTACAAGTCCATCTGAAAAGGCAAAAAAAGAGGGACAGAGAGATGACTGATATATAAAGTTGTTTACCAGAAATTTTTATTATATTCACAGAAATGACATTGATTATTGATTGGACATACATCATTAAAATTTAGAGTATGGGTTATAGTGTCCAGTGTGGCATTATTAATTTATAGTTACTGGTGGCAATAGCTAACAGTTTTAAGAGATAAAAAAAAATCTCTTCGTTCAGGGCCAGGTGCAGTGACTCATGCCCGTAATTTTCCAGCACTTTGGGAGGCCAAGGTGGGTCGATCACCTGAGGTCAGGAGTTCAACACCAGCCTGGCCAACATGGTGAAACCCCTTCTCTACCAAAAATACAAAAATTAGCCAGCTGTTATGGCACATGCCTGTAATCTCAGCTACTTGGGAAGCTGAGGCAGGAGAATCCCTTGAACCCGGGAGGCGGAGGTTGCAGTGAGCAGAGATCGCATCACTGCACTCCAGCCTTGGCGACAGAGCAACACTCCATCTCAAGAAAAACAAAACAAACAAAAACAAAACAAAACAAAACAAAAAAAACATAGTTCAAAGATGGGAGAAACACAAAATTGTATTGTCATTTTAATGTCTCTATGAGTTTGACAACTAAAAGGACTTGCATTCCTCAGATGAAAGGTTTTTTTGGTTCCCAAATCTCAAGACCTAGATTCAGAATTTGGAGCTGCAGCAGGTGTTACTTGCACATTTGTGTGTATCTTAGCAATAAGAGGACAGGGAAAGTGGAGATTCTCATGTCTACATATCTACTCAACACTCACATGTTACTCTAGGTTTCTGGGTACCCTGGTCTCTGAATCAGTTTCAGGTCTGAAGATACAAGAGTCACTGAAAGAGGTGAAATGGTTGATTGCTGTCCTGTGAAGTTTGTAGAAATCTGTGAGTTGACTGGAAGCCTGAGAGGAAAATTCCCCTGTAGAGAAAAGCTTGGTTGGCATCTTATGTGTTTATATCATGTCTGCTAATTCTAGACAGTGTGTGGAAAATATAATTTAAAGAAAAATTTTCTCCAGCCCCAGGAAACTACAAAATGATTGAACAGAAAGAAAACTGTTTTATTGAACAATTTAACCTGAATGTGACACACATCATAGTCAATCTGCTCAAGAGACTGCCAAGACAGAAAGACAGTCACCATAGTTGGTCCACAAGTAGAAAAATTTATAGCACCATGTCATACGTAGTTCATCCTAAATTCACCTGGCAACTGGCAAGGCCATCGGTGTATGCTTATTGGTTATATTCAATGACAAAATAAACCTTTCTCATCTTCATAACAGGAGGTAATTCTGCAACATGAAGCCAGGTGCCTGCTGAAGGTAGGCTCCCACTCTCCTACAGAAATGGTTGAATAGGGTATCTTTTCGTCTATTAATATTTTAAAGCAGGCCGGGCACGGTGGCTCACGCCTGTAATCCCAGCACTTTGGGAGGCCAAGGCGGGTAGTTCATGAGGTCAGGAGATCGAGACCATCCTGGCTAACACGGTGAAACCCTGTCTCTACTAAAAAAAATACAAAAAATTAGCCGGGCATGGTGGGAGGCGCCTGTAGGCCCAGCTACTTGGGAGGCTGAGGCAGAAGAGTGGCATGAACCCGGGAAGTGGAGTTTGCAGTAAGCTGAGATCGCGCCACTGCACTCCAGCCTGGGTGACAGAGTGACAGTCCTTCTCAAAAAAAAAAAAAAAAAAAAAAAAAAAATTTTAAAGCCATGACTCTTTAACTGCTTTAGCACTGGGTTAGAGCACCCTGCTTGCCCTCTCCTGATGGCCAGTGTCCTCTCTTGACTCCTACCATCAGCCATTGACACACAGCCCACAACACAAAGCTCACAGCTGGCAGCTAGTATCTTACATGAACCCCAATTGCCACAGCAGCACTCCAGTGTCACATCAGACAGTGAAAAGCCTGAGCTGCAGGAGGAGAGTCTGCAGGCCTCCTGGGTGAAACCGCATCTTCACAATAATGAGAATGGGAGCAGTGTTTCAGCCTCAGTTTCTATTTATAATGGTGACATGAAAAAAATACTGCTGATTTCCAGCATGAGTCGGGATAGAGATAGGTCTGAGTTCTCCCTGTGACAGCCCACCTCATTCACAGATACCATGGGATATTAATAGGGCTTCTGAACAGAAACCCAAAGGATTCGAGCAAAAAACAGCTCTCCATCTGAGCAACATTTTATCCAGAAAAAATAGAAAGTTAAAAGCATCTTTAAAAACAAAACTCAGATTAGATATAATATTGATCAAGTCCACCAGAAAATATTCCCCTAAAAAAAAATTTATCTTTAAATACCCAAAGTACACAACTATTCTCAGCATGAGAAACATGAGCATTATAAAGACACAGGACAGGCCAGGCACAGTGGCTCACGCCTATAATCCCGGCACTTTGGAAGGCTAAGGCAGCTGGATCACCTGAGGTTAGGAGTTTGAGACTAGTCCGACCAACATGGTGAAACCCTGCCTCTACTAAAAATACAAAATTAGCCAGGCATGGTGGCTCATGCCTGTTATCCTAGTTTCTTGGGAGGCTTAGACAGCAGAACCACTTGAACCCAGGAGGCGGAGGTTGCAGTGAGCTCATGCCGTTGCACTCCAGTCTGGGCAACGAGTGAAACTCCGTCTCAAAAAAAAAGAAAAAAGAAAATATTAAAAACAATTGCAACAAAAGCAAAAATTGACAAATGAGACCTAACTAAACCAAAGAGCTTCTTCACATCAAAGGAAACTATCAACAGAGTAAACAACCTACAGAATAGAATAATGTATTTGCAAACTATGCTGCTGACAAACATCTAATATCCGCAATCCATAAAATACTTAAACAAATTTACAAGGAAAAACAAACAACCTTATTAAAAAGGAAGCAAAGATGATGAACAGATGCCTTTCAAAAGAAAGTATACAGGTGGCTAACAAGCATATAAAAAAAATACTCATCATTAATCATTAGAGAAATGCAAACAAAATACACAATGAGATACCATCTCACACAAGCCAGAATGGCTATTATTAAAACATCAAAAAAGTACAGATGCAGGGCTGGGCGCGGTGGCTTTTGCCTGTAATCCTAGCACTTTGGGAGGCTGAGGTGGGTGGATCACTTGAGGGCAGGAGTTCGAGACCAGCCTGGTCAACATGGTAAAACCCCATCTCTACTAAAAATAGAAAATATTAGCCGTGCATGGTGGCAAATGCCTATAATCCCAGCTATTCAGGAGGCTGAGACATGAGAATCACTTGAACCCGGGAAGCAGGAGGTGGAGGTTGCAAATGAGCCGAGATTGCGAGATTGTGCCACTGTACTCCAGCATGGGCAACAGAGCGAGACTCTGTCTCAAAAAAAAAAAACAACAAAAAAAACCACCAGATCCTGGCAAGGTGGTGGGAGTGTAAATTAGTTCAACCATTGTGAAAAGCAGTTTGGTGATTCCTCAGAGAACTAAAAACAGAATTAGCATTTGACCCAGCAACCTCATAATTCGGTGTATGCCTCAAGAAATACAAGTTATTCTGCCATAAAAACACAAGCACACTCATGATCACTGCAGAACTATTCACAATAGCAAAGACATGAAATCAACCTGAATCCTATCAATGGTAAACTGGATAAAGAAAATATAATACAGAGAAGGGCAGTGGCTCATGCCTGTAATCGCAGCAATTTAAGAGGCCAAGCAATTTAAGAGGCTCAAGACTGCCTGAGTTCAAGAGTTTGTGAACAGCCAAGGAAACATGGAGAAATCCCATTTCTACAAAGTATACTAAAGGAAAATCAGCTGGGTGTGGTGGTGTGCACCTGTAGTCCCAGCTACATAAGGGGCTGAGGTAGGAGGATTGCTTGGACCCAGGATGTTGAGGCTGAAGTCAGCCAAGATCGCGCCACTACCCTCCAGCCTACCTGACAGAGTAAGACCCTGCCTCCCCTTAAAACAAAATGAGAAGGCCGGGCGTGGTGGCCCATGCCTGTAATCCCAGCACTTTGGGAGGCCAAGGAGGGCAGATCACCTAAGGTCAGGAATTTGAGACCAGCCTGGCCCACAGGGAGAAACCCCATCTCTATTAAAAGTACAAAATTAGCTGGGCATAGTGGTGCACGCCTATAAGGCCAGCTACTCAGGAGGCTGAGGCAAGAGAATCACTTCAACCCAGGAGGCAGAGGTTGCAGTGAGCAGAGATCACGCCATTGACTCCAGCCTGGGCAACAAGAGCGAAACACCATCTGAAATAATAATAAAATAAGAAGAAAATAAAATAGAATATTTATATAAAAAGAAAAATATAGCATATAAATATCATGGAATACTGTATGGCCATAAAAAAGAACAAGATGTTTTTTGCAGCAACATGGATGGAACTGTAGTCCATTATCCTTAGAAAACTAATGCTGAAAGAGAAAAGCAAACGCATGTTCTTTTTCTCTTTTTTTTTTTTTCTTGAGACAGAGTCTAGCTCTGTCGCCCGGGCTGGAGTGCAGCGGCTTGATTTCGGCTTATCACAACCTCCGCCTCCCGGGTTCAAGTGATTCTCCTGCCTCAGCCTCCTGAGTTGGGATTACAGGCGTGTGCCACCACACCCGGCTAATTTTTGTATTTTTAGTAGAGATGGGGTTTCACCATGCTGGTCAGGCTGGTCTCAAACTCCTGACCTCGTGATCCACTCGACTCAGCCTTCCAAAGTGCCGGGATTACAAGCGTGAGCCACTGTGCCCAGCTGAATGTTCTCATTTCTAAGTAAGAGCTAAATAATAAGAACACATGGACACAAACAGGAAAACAACAGACACCGAAGCCTACTTGAGGGTAGAGGGTGAGAGAGCAAAGATTAAAAAAAAAAAAGTTTGGTGTTACACTTAGTACCTCTGTGACAAAATAATGTGCATCGAAGTTCCATGACACAACTTTACCTATACAGTAAACCTGCACGTGTACCCCTAAAACAAAAATGACAGTTAAAAGAAAGAAACTCAGTGGGTGGGGAAGAGTGCAATGTAGGCAGGTCTGGCTTGTGCTACTTATTTCTGGGTCCACACAGCAGGTGAGATTATGAACAGGTGGCCCGGAACCCCAAGTTGGTGGAGAAAACAGGTTGCTGCTACAGATTCAGCGTCTGGGGGTAGGGATATGCCAAAAGATTTGTAGACAATTTTATGGGATTTTGGCAAAAAACACTAGGATCAAAAATGCCATGGTTAGATTTTTGAGGGTGGTGCCTAGTCCTGGGAGTGGTGTGCAGTGTCTAGCGGGCATGATTGTGAGTGGGTGGGAATCCTGTGGTGGCAGCTGTGGAAAAATGGGATCATCAGAGCTCCTATTTTTTTTTTTTTTTTTGAGATGAAGTCTCGCTCTGTTGCCCAGGCTGGAGAGTAGTGGCTCGATTTCAGCTCACTGCAAGCTCCGCCTCCCGGGTTCACGCCATTCTCCTGCCTCAGCCTCCCGAGTAGCTGGAACTACAGGCACCTGCCACCTCGCCCGGCTAATTTTTTGTATTTTTAGTAGAGACGGGGTTTCACCATGGTCTCCTCTCCTGACCTCATGATCTGCCCGCCTCAGCCTCCCAAAGTGCTGGGATTACAGGTGTGAGCCACTGCGCCCGGCCAGAATTCCTATTCTCCCAGTTTTCAGTCCTCTCTCACCCTAAGAGGAGATCTGGAATCACAGAACAATGAGCAGTGTGACAACCTGTGTACAGTTTATTTAACTTAAAATAAAATAAGTTAATAATCTGAATTGGGGAGGAAAAGTTAGCATTTGGACTTGTCAGAAGGAGATGGAAATTTGGTATTTTACTTTAAGCCACAGTTAGGCTGGAGAAAAGGAGGACTGGCGGTACATTTGAGACCCTGCTCGAAAAAACATATAAAAAATGCAGGGCATAGCCAGACGCAGAGGCTCACGCCTGTATTCCCAGCACTATTGGGAGGCCGAGGCAGGTGGATCGCGAGGTCAGGAGTTCGAAACCATCCTGGCCAACACAGTGAACTTCCCTCTCTAGTAAAAATACAAAAAAATTAGCTGGGCGTGGTGGCGGGCACCTGTAATCCCAGCTATTCGGGAGGCTGAAGCAAGGGAATCGCTTCAACCCGGGAGACGGAGGTTGCAGTATGCAGAGATCACACAACTGCACTTCAGCCTGGGTAACAATAATGAAACTCCATCTCAAAAAAAAAAAAAAAAAAAAGGAAAAGAAAAACTATGCAGGGCATAATCAGTCCTCTGTGGAGTGTGAAAACAGTTAAGTGACAGGAGGCTTACGCCTGTAATCCCAGCATTTTGGGAGGCCAAGGCGGGCGGATCACGAGGTCAGGAGTTTGAGACCACCCTAGCCAGCATGGTGAAACCCCATCTCTATTAAAAATACAAAAATTAGTCGGGCATGATGGCGGGAGCCTGTAATCCCAGCTACTCGGGAGGCTGAAGCAGAATAGTTTGAATCAGGAAGGCGGGGGTTGCAGTGAGCCGAAATCGTGCGCCACTGCACTCCAGTCTGGGCAAAAGAGTGAAACTCCGTCTCAAAAAGAAAATAGTCAAGTGACATGGAATTAGGCTGACGTGGAAATCTACTCTCTGGAGTCCTACTTAAGAAAAAAAAAAAAAATCTAACTCAAATGAATTATTTATTTATTTTTTAATTACTACATTAGAGGAAACGAAATTCAGTCTTAACCAAATATAAACAGCCAATTAAGCTCTGATTACAAACCAGGAAATTTGTACGCTCAAGGTGGAAATTAGGAAACTATGTCACTGTGCCTGATTACTGAATTTGGGTTTTTTCATGATGCACCTTATAAAAGTCTTTTGTTCAAGCCCCTCTAATGGACCACAAACTACAACCCATAGGGGTGCTCTATAATTTTTGAACAACTCTAATTAAATTCTTTAATATTTTTGCGGCGACTCCCATAAATTTTTAAAAGAAGAAAGGGGGACTTAGGAACTCCCGTGGTCCCTGCACAATCTGGGAGAGACGCGGCGCTGCGATGCAGAGCTGCCCAGGGAGGGCTCCAGGCCAGGGCACAGTCACTGCGCAGCGAAGAGACAGAACTGCCGGGGAGCCTGGCTGTCAGCGCAGCCGCCATCTTATGGCTGAAGGGAACTGAGACAGAGCGGGGCTAGGAGAACTCGGGGCGCAGAGGGGCTGACTGCGGGGAGGCCTGAGTCCCGCCACAGCCACTTCCCACCACTTCCAACCAGCCCTTCCCCTCTCTCGGGATGTGGGAACCGGCGCTCTCACCATTTCTAGGCTTCCAGGGAGTCCTGGCGTCTTAGCTGTGGATCTCCCAATACCTGTACCTCAGGAAGCCACGGAGTCCAGGAGCTCCAGCTGCTGCGAAACACAAAGGCCGCGCCAAATCCCGGAAGCCGCGCTGTCCGCTTCAGCTGGGGTCTGATTGGACGATTCTTAGCCAAGCATCCCTGATTGGATGTCGTTTAAGGCCCCGCCCATTCAGTCCCGGAGTCACGGAAGACGTGCTCAGACGCGCAGCTCAATGAAGAAAGAGTGATAGCCCAGTCTGCACCCTTTTCAGGCAGGACTTCTTCCATGAGATGAGCCAGGCCCACCCCAGAGGGGATTTGCCATTAGCTTTGTGTATAAGGTCATATAGATTTATAAATAATGTACTTACTATATGGCTATTCACAAAGGAAAAGAATAGAATAACAATTATATTTAAATTTCGGCTTTTATGACTGTCAGGCCTCTGAGCCCAAGCCAAGCCATCGCATCCCCTGTGACTTGCACTATACGCCCAGATGGCCTGAAGTAACTGAGGAATCACAAAAGAAGTGCAAATGCCCTGCCTCGCCTTAAGTGATGACATTCTCCCACAAAAGAAGTGAAAATGGTCGGTCCTTGGCTTAAGCGATGATATTATCTTGTGAAATTCATTTTCCTGGCTCATCCTGGCTCAAAAAGTTCCCCCACTGAGCACCTTGTGACCCCACTCTTGCCCGCCAGAGAACAACCCCCCTTTGACTGTAATTTTCCTTTACCTACCCAAACCCTATAAAACGGCCCCACCCTTAATCTCCTTTAGCTGACTCTCTTTTCGGACTCAGCCCGCCTGCACCCAGGTGAAATAAACAGCCATGTTGCTCACACAAAGCCTGTTTGGTGGTCTCTTCACACGGACGCACATGACAATGACTCTCCTGGCTTCAGTTCTTTAAGGAGGCAGCCTAAGTTTTTTTTAAAAAAGGCAGTCCTCTGAAATAAAATGTGAGCCACATATGAATTTTAATTTTTTTTTCTTTTTTTTCTTTTTTTTTGATACGGAGTCTCTCTTGCCCAGGCTGGAGTGCATTTGGACAGTCTTGGCTCGCTGCAACCTCCGCCTCCCAGGCTCAAGTGATTCTCCTGCCTCAGCCTCCTGAGTAGCTTAGATTACAGGCACCCGCCACCACGCCCAGCTAATTTTATATACTTTATTAGAGACAGGGCTTCACCACGTTGGCAACACGGGTCTTGAACTCCTGACCTCAGGTGATCAGCTGGCTTCAGCCTCCCAAAATACTAGGATTACAGGCCTGAGGCACTGCTCCCGGCAATGGCCAAACTTTAAAAATAAAAAAGTAGTATTCAAGACCATTTCAGCCCTTCCCCAAACTAGCACACTGTCAGTTCACAGGTTTCTACTGCCCTGAGCAAACAAGGCCAGCCAGATTTAGGCTTTGTAAAACAGATTCTGTATCTCAATGGGAGCAGCTGTAAAAGCACCTGGCAATGGGCATGGATATAGGAGGGATGAAAAATTGCTGTGGCCAGGCACCGTGGCTCACGACTGTAATCCCAGCACTCCAGGAGGCCTAGGTGGGTGGATCACCTGAGGTCAAGACCAGCCTGGCCAAAATGGCAAAACCCCGTCTCTACAAAAAATACAAAAATTTACTGGACATGGTGGTGCACACCTGTAATCTCAGCTACTCAGGAAGCTGAGACAGGAGAATTGCTCCAACCCCAGAGGCAGAGGTTGCAGTGAGCCAAGATCACGCCACTGCACTGCAGCCTAGGTGACAGAATGAAACTCCATCTCAAAAAAAAAAAAAAAAAGAAACAAGAGAAAAAGAAAAATTGCTACAATTTTTGCAATCACTATTATTCTGCCTTTTTTGCATATGTGGTTTATACAACTCTTTTACATCAAGAAACTTGTCCAAAGATCCACACCTACTAAGTGGCTGGGCTGAAACTCAGAATAAACTGAATTTGTTGATCTATGCTCCTCCATAGATCAAACTATTGGCTTCTGCAGACCCATGAAATACTGGATAATTATACTTTTACAATAGAAGCTGGACTTTTTTTTTTTTTTTTTTAGATTTGTTCCCATGTAGTACTTTTTATTATTGGGAATAATCTTGTTAAGAAATTGCAGAAGCACAAGGTGCCTCACAATTGTAATCCTAGCACTTTGGGAGGCTGAGTTGAAAGAATCACTTGGATTCAGGAGTTCAAGTACTGCCTGGGCAACATAGTAAGATCCTGTGTCTATGAAAACAATTTTAAAAAATTAGCCAGGCATGATGTTGCATACCTGTAGTTGCAGCTGAACTAGGACTGTGTGAACCAAGACAATTAAGGCTGCAATGAGCGATAAGTGGTTACACCACCTACCACACTCTAGCCAGGATAAAAGAGTGAGACACTGTCTCAAAAAATTGCAGGAGCATTTTGAACAGACATAGAATAATTAGAAAGAATAGCTGAGAGATGAGCTTAGAAAGTCAAAGCCCAAGAACGTTATTTATTTTTCATCATAGAAACAATTTCAAAACGTGTAAAAGAAAAACAAAAACTTTAGAGAAATTAAATTTAACAGAGTTAAATTGAGCAAAAAATGATTTGCAAATCAGATACCCTGTGGATCCAGAGTAGGCTCAGAGATACTGCAGCATAGCCACATGGTGGAAAAAGCAAAGCGACATACAGAAAATGCAAGGAAGGTACAGAAAGGGCCAGATTGATTACAGCTTAGAATTTGCCTGATTTGAACATGATTCGAACAGTTGACATTTTAATATTGTGGCTGGTACAAGAATGGGTACAGTCTATTTATATATCAAGTTAGGTTTCAGTTTAGTGTGTTAAAAAAAACCTATTGAAAAAAATTAAGCGTGAAAGTGGCAGCATTAGAATATAATTAACAATTTTTCTCTTTTGGTCATCTCAATTTTGAGAGATATATCAGAACTTTAGATATTGATATGCCTCTGTTGCCATAAAAATGTACTTATTGGCCAAGTGTGGTAGCTCACACCTGTAATCCCAGCAATTTGCAAGGCCCAGATGGACAGATCACCTTAGATCAGGAGTTCACGACCAGCCTGGCCAACATAGTAAAACTCTGTCTCTACAAAAATACAAAAATTAGCCGGGCATGATGGCAGGTGCCTGTAATCCCAGCTACTTCGGAGGCTGAGGCAGGAGAATCACTTGAAGCCAGGAGGCAGATGTTGTAGTGCATGGAAATCTCACCACTGCACTCCAGCCTGGACCACAGAACAAGACTGCATCTAAAAAAAAAAAAAAAAAACCCAGCACTTTGGGAG